GAATATTGTATCAAGCCAGACAGCCTTTTGTATATAATATGATACGTTTCAGACTTCACCGAGATCAATCCCAAAACCTATCAAACAGAATTGTTTTGAACCGTCCTGAAGAACCAGTTATTTTGTATTCCATATAATATATGGCATATTATGTCCCATTATACAAAATATATATAGACATTAGTTACTGGAGAGTAGTGTTGGTTTAACACACATTCACTTAACCCAACATAACTAATAAGTATATCGAATCTTATGAACTATTATTCAGTTAATTAATTAGGATAAATTTTCTTAGTTGTTCAAATTTGTCCCGCTTTATTATTGGCAATTATAATCTTATAGTTGGTAATAATTAATTATGATGAACATTCTTAATTACTTTTGTTTCATTAATATTTCACTTCAGAAAAATAGAACTTTTAAAATTGAGTGTCACAACATTGATGAGATAATTCCCATATACGTGCCAAACATGTTAACAACAAAAAACAGGGGTATATGTTTAAAATTCTCTAAATAAGAGTCTTTTTTCATGCTTGGTCAAGAATACCCCTACAGGGTTGGGCCAGCCACCACGCCGCCGAAACTCCGCGCGCCTCCGGCCGGTTCCCATCGTCGTCAAAACTCCGCCGCCGGACTAGGGGGCCGAACTACTGCTGGACATCCCACCACCAACAGATTGACCTTGGTTATGCTAAGGAACCAGGAGAGCAATTATTTATATTAGGGGTCGAAAGGTAATGTTTAGTCATATTTAGGGAATATAAAACATAGACTCTTATTTAGGGGAAAAAGTAAGTTTTACTCCTGTTTAGGGCAATTACTTAAAAGTGATTTATAGTTTATATGTTATTTTATTATGTAATTTATTTAAGGATTGAGTGGTACTGAAGAATCATCCCGAACTCTACCGGAAGTTGGTACAGAACGGGACAAATGCTACATATTTAGGACAATACTGATACCTTGATTTCTAAAAAACATAATTTGGATGAGACATGTTTTTTGAGAGAACTGTCATGCATGTATCGTCTCATGCTTACACCTTATCATTAGTTAATATTTTGTGATTTTGATATGGTTAAAATTGTAACTTCGGACACGGTAACAAACTATACTCCTTTTGAACATGTTTACAAAATGATATGGAGTAATATTTTTCTCTCCAAAGGGAACTACATTCCAATATAGACATAACTAATAGACAAAAATTGTGATTTCTACAAAGTTAAATGTGTGATGTAAATGATTGACTTTATACAAAATGTAAGTTATGTGTGTTAATTAAATATATAAATGTGATACATTTTGTGCGTGTAACGCTACTTTTGATACAAAAGTTTTGTATTTGCCTATTTAATTTAAAATTTTTTAACACTCCTTCTAACTCAATTTTTTTTGCAAAGTCTACTTTTCTCAATTAACACAATTTTATTTTATTTATTTATTTAGAAAATCAATTTTTTGTTACATTTTTATTTGGATTTTTATGACTTTACAAAGTTTTCAATGTCATTTTGGAATATGTAAATTTGAATTTATAAAACTGCTTTACTTATCTACAGAGAAGATTTTCTCTATTGTTAGTCAACAATGGAAACTGCAGATTGTGCATCATTTGGGACAAATGGATTATGAAACTATGTGATTTTCGAATGGACTGGGCGTGTAAAAGGTGGGCAGATCTCACACTGTATTTATTTGTAAAACACATGAGACTTTCAAATGCAACTATACTTGGTATACACATTGCGTGTACATGCTTTCTATACTTTGTCTGTATCATAAACATTATTTAATACATAATAAAAAATTACATATACTTTCTATATTTTCCAGGCAGTTATACGATAGTATATGATATAAACCAATTGTACGCAGAGGCGGCGTTGTATGTTCGAATGCATAGGGGCGGAAAATTAAAATGGACCTAATGTTACAAAATGTTGTAGTACCATTTTCTATTTAAACTGACATGCATAATAATAATAATATTAAAACAATAATAATAGTAATAGTAATAATAATAATAATAATAATAATAATAATAATAATAATAATAATAATAATAATAATAATAATAATAATAATAATAATAATAATAATAATAATTCAAGACATTCATAAAAAATTGTAAAACCCTATTCTGTCTAAACCGATCATATTATAGTATTGATGATCCTTATTTAGGAAAGAAACAATGGTGATCCTATTTGTACACTTTACCAATGTTTAAGTCATATTTAAGAAATTAACTCTATTATTATCACATCCTAAATCCCCCCTTCAATAATGTAATCATTCTGAACCATTTCATTTTCAGTAGTTAAATTATTGTTCTTCTATGAGTTCTCATCTTCAAGAGGACATTTAGAATTTGACTTCTTTACACAAACAAGCTTTTCTATTGAACTTTATTTTACTTGGTGCCACTTTGTCTAATCTTCTCATCTTTTTTATTTATCCTAAGATTCAATCCTTTTTATTACACCTTGAAATCAATAAAATTTATAAATTTTATCATAATTGAAAATGTTTGTCTAACAAAACCACCAAGTTATAACACCAACACTCAATTGAAAACAATCAACCATTAAGAAATTAAACAATCAACTATGAATGAAATAAATTAATAAACTAATCAAATAATTATATCAGACTAATATGCTTTCGAGTGGAACTTTTTTATCAAATTATAAGAGAATGTTTTTCATCATGTGTAGATTATGTTCATAAAATTTCAGCTTAAAATTCAATGATGAAGTTAGTCAAATAAATTATTGAAAACAATGCTCCAAAATATGTATAAAAACACGGTGTTTTTCATCAAATGACTTCAAAATTGAACTTTAAACTGTTTTTTTATACATAATTTACACTTCATAGTGAACACGATCTTAAGTTTTCTCCAAAAAAAATACATTCCGAAGAACTTCAACAAATTTCACTGAAAAATTTATTAGTTTAAGGCTGAAAAATAGCCTACTAGCAAATACATGCACATACATTTTATTACAAAGAATAAAATTTGGGACTATTTTTTAGGGCTGGGAAAAAACTTCCGACTCCCGATCCCGATCCCGATCCCGACAATCCGGATCCCGACAATCCCGATCCCGACTAGTCAGGAATTTTTCCCGATCATGACTAAGTCGAGACGGGACCGAGATTTTTTTTTAAAGTCGGGATCGGGAAAATCCCGACATCCCGACATTATATATATATATATATATATATATATATATATATATATATATAGTATGGATCAAATAAAAATTGCTTCCTAGGTGAAAAATAAGAACTAGTCTTGACCATTGATGTGAAAAAATGGATGGAAGAGATCAAATTTTAAGTGAAAAACGCGGTGGCATTTTGGTAATTATGAAGGAACGTTTATTAAAAATATTGTGACAAATGTGTATCAGAATATTCAAAAAGTGCAGAGCACAAAAGTGCAATACAGTACAAAATAAAAAGCGCACAAGTTAGAAAATTTTGACAATCTTTTTTGACACGCATGAGTGCACTTTTAATAAGTAACTATCCACTTTATAGTATAAATATTTGCACATTTTTTAAAACCGTCTCTTGTGATTAAAATTCATCTAATCCATCCATTTTCAAGTGATCAAAGGTCAAGATTTGTTCTCACTTTTCATGGGAAGACTACTTTTTACTTGAACCAACCCCTATATATATGTAGATATATACATATATATATATATATATATATATATATATATATATATATATAGACACACATGTATATAAATATATATCAATATATAAAAAAATGAATATACATTTATAAAAAATGAATATGTATCTAAATATTTGCATATCTTTTCTAATTACATATTCCCTACATAGATTAATCTTTTACTACGAGTATCTTATAATATCAAACTTCTAAAACTATTCGGCATTTGTCCGAAAATGAATATTCGGGATCCTAACTAAATAGAGATTATTCTTGATCCCGACAATCTAAATTACAACAATATTACAAATTTTGCGGTTAATTATGATGAACTCTTTAAAAAATCATGATCGAGACAACGATTTCTTTCTTTAGTAAATAATCATAATATGTATTTATACATTATATTTATTGGTCACAAGGTTTCTCAATAAGTCTACTTAGTTTTGAATTTTAAATAATATACGTTACACATCCTTCTTTTAGTGTTTTTTATATAATGTTTGAAGTAAGTTTCACTAAGCCTTGATAGCTTATTAAAAAATTATACTATTAATTAATTGAAGTTACAAATAAAATTATTCTAAAAGTAGATACTAGTGTGAATTTGAGATGATAATATTACAATAAATTTTATAAGTAGATGATGATAAATACGGTATAACAGTGAACAAAGAATAATTTTGAAACCACTAAATATCAAAGTTAGTGTTTAACTAAAGAAATTGCATAATTTTATAAGTATTTGATACTTCATTCTCGGGATTTAGCGGGATTAAGCGGGATTCCCGACTTAATCGGGATTTTAATGTCGGGATCCCGACTTAATCGGGACGGGATACAGGATCCTCTTGTAGTTTGAATCGGGATCGAGATGAGATCGGGATTTGGGCAATCGGGATCAGGATCATCCCGATTCCACCCCTACTATTTTTTACCCATTTTTTTGGGCTACGACGCCCGCCCCCTTGCCCCTAGGGCCGCCCAAATAGCATTTTTTGTTTCAAATGAGACCGTAGTCCAAACCCAATATAGGAGTTGAGGTTGATGCCAAGTATAGATCTCCCACTCACACACCTAAACACACTTTTAGAGTGATTCCAATTGACCATTCAAAACGAGCGTCAAAGAGGGTATGCGAGGTCTAATTTGTTTTCCACTTTTTCTTTTGTCCGGTGCGTCCGTAGCTAGGCAGGCCACCGGCCCAGTGCTGCAATAGGACCAATTGAATCTGTCACACTTCATTATTGGTTTATATTTATATCCTCTGCTAACTTAGCTCCTTCTTCCTGATTCACTCATTCATTCTCACATACATACAATAAAGAGATCGACAATCTCTCCTAACTTTTAGGCATACACACTTATAAATAAAAGCTTGGTTGGCACTTCTGCCTGTATTAGTGTGTTGTATATACACAAATACAATAAATGTCGTCTGCGGCGGCGGCGGCACTTCCTAATACAGAAAATGAAGCGAAAACTCTTGAAGATTCCTCGGACTACAAGGGCCGCCCCTCCCTCCGCTCCTCCTCCGGCGGCTGGACCAGTGCCGCCATGATTTTAGGTCTCTTCTTTTTTCTCCTCCTTTTAGATTTCTGCATAACCACTCACTCTAAAAGAAGTTTTGTTTGTTTGTTTTATTATTTAAAACATTAATAGGACTTTGCACTTTTAAATACTACTCTGGGTAGTAGACTAGTAGCTAGTCGTGTTTTCTTTCATACAACACCCCAATAATATGGAGTAATATACAGAGTACCATCAATATTAAAATCAAGATTCTTTTATAAACCATTGAAATATGACAAAGTAACAGTGAATCATGTTCCAATATTAAGTTTTCGGTCTCACATTAGTGGTAGTCAAGGTTGAATTTTTCATTATCACTATTTAAATTTGTATACATCCGGACTCTAGCGACCATTACAAGTTTAGAACAAAGGGAGAAATGGAGAATCCTTGAAATGTGAGTAAAATATTTTGGAATTCCAGCGACAAAACACCGTCCACCTATATATTAGCCCAAAATCTTATATATTGTTTTATTGTTTTATACTTTTCCGGTGTAAATAAATAGTTTAACACGCCACATAAGTCCGAACAGGCTGAACAATATCAGGTTGTATAAATGAATCCAACAGACCCTTAACAAGATACCCTTAATTATAGATGCTCAATAAGCGGTCAAACAACACCCGGGCTACTTATGTTAACAAGAGTAACCCAAAATTATACATAGGATTTTATTGGGTTATACCTTTCCGGTGTGAAACAAATACTTTAACACATGTAAAGTTCGATAATGTCAAAACATGACTAATAATTATTTCTATTTATAAAATTTTCTCAATTAAAATTTGCCCTATCACTCTCCTAAGTTCTTTGTCCCAAACACAATGGTGCAAATGGAGCATATTCTTTTATATTCTCCTAAATAATTGTTCCACTTAAATTTTGAGATATTTTAAAATAATTTTCTCACTTTATGTTTTCAAAAATATGTCTACCTAATACGTAGTAGCTATTATAGTACACTTTAATAAGTGTTCACTATTGCTACAATACCAAAAGTTCCTACTTTTAAAAACCCCTATGACACATTTTTTGAAAAAATTATATTGCAAATATATTTTATTAATAAAATAAAGAAAAAATTATATGAATAAACAACTAAAATGATTCTTTATACTAACTTCAACGTTACTTTTTCTTATTATTAGACAATTCGCCGCACGAAATCAAGAGTTACGCGTTTAGTGAAAAAGTTGGCCGATTGCGCTGAGTCCCTGATGAGTCCAAAAACAGGACCACTTAAAATATTTTGATTCAACGAGTAAAAAATGGAAATATAATTGTAAGATTGGAATGAGAATGAATGTTAATAATAGAAATGACACTTAAATTTCACTATGTGGTCCAACTTTGGAGGGTGGTGCAATTTAACATCATGTGGGGAACATTTTAAAACCAAACTCATCCAATAATTTTCTTATGTGATTGTTTGAATTGTTGGTACCTAAAGGGGTTGAAGCATGTGAAAGGATGACGACGTTGGGTATCGCCGTCAACCTCGTGACGTATTTGACGGGGACCATGCATTTAGGAAACGCAAACGCCGCTAACAACGTTACTAACTTTCTTGGGACCTCCTTCATGCTCACCCTCTTAGGTGGCTTCGTGGCTGACACTTTCCTGGGAAGGTTCATTCTAAATCTACCTCTTCCCTTTTTTGTCTAACCAAATTCTTTCTCACTTTAATTTCGAATAATAACAATATATAAATAAATTATTTCAGGTATTTAACCATCGCCATTTTTACAACTATACAAGCCACGGTGAGTTTGTGAAATCATATTTTTATTATTACTTAAAAGCTCTATTCCTGATTGTAATTTGTAACTTTTTATCGTTGTAATTTGTAACCTTTGAAATCAAATACTCGGTCTCTTAATCCCAAAATTAACTTTCCATTTTGGGTTTAAAAAAAAATCTCCAAACACCAGAAAATATAGATAGAGCTCACAAATTGAACTAATTATATTTTGTTTTCAAAGTAGAACTTATTTAGGATGAATTAATCCTATTTTACGAAGTAATGATGATCTTGTTTGGGAAAATGGTAATAAATACTCACTAACTCACAAGGTAATTGATGGAGTTAAATCCAATTACGAGAGCTAAATATACGTAGGTATGAGAATAATATGGCAGCGTAAGGCAGTTTTACTCTTTATTCCGGAGAACTAGCAATTGTCTAGCCTCGGTTCAGAATTCAATTCAATCTGGGATTCGATCCCTTGGTAGGGTGTTTACATCAAGTATTTATAGAGATTAGGAAGTAGAATTATGGGAGGAATCTAATCCAATAAATGCTCAATTAATGAACTATATTCTTGCTCAAAATAGAACTCTTCGATGCTTGATTCCCACACGATTGCTTTCTCCTTTTAGTCGCCGTCCCCCAGATGAGTTCTGCCTGTTGTCAAATATCTATCAACGAGTGATAGCTCGCCACGTAAGCCCTAGGAATATTCCGGCCTCAGTAGAACTCCGCCCAGGCTCGAGGTCTGCTGTCCAGCCCGGCCTGGTTATGGGTTCCTATCGTGGGCCTAATTCCTAATGGGCTAAACGGCTTTTAATTATGAATCCCGTTTATGGGCTGATCCTGTAATTAGGCTGATCCCGTTAAGGGCTGATCCCGTTTATGGGCTAATCCTGTAATTACGCTGATCCCGTTTATGGGCCAATCCTGTAATTAGGCTGATCCCGTTAAGGACTGATCCCGTTTATGGGCTGGACTACGTAATTGGGCCATGATCAGAATACATGTACCATCAGTAAAATACATCTTGTTACCAATGGTGTGGTTAGACAAATTATATTCGTAGTCTCTTTTTCTTCGTTGCAATGCATTTCTTTCCTTTACCTTCCATTCTTCTTCTTTATTTTTCTTTTCTCAATTCTTTTTTCCTTCCCCATAAAAAATACTAAAAACTTAATTGCAATTTTTGTTTTTTTATCTTCAACTTAAATTACAACTCAATCTACTTTTTTCTTTCTTTATCGATTCATAACAAAAAACATTTAATCTAAATAAAAATATGTATATCCCATTTCATACACACACTATTTTTTTGTAATATTTTTAGATTCATACACTTTTGTAATTTATCTTTTCATATTCATACACTTGTTATACTCCTCTCCATTTTCTTCTCTCCATTTATTCTCTCCATTTCTTTTTCACTCTATCTCTCTCCTTAAAAAATAATTAAACCCCATCGTTTCTTTCTCCCTACCCCACCATTTCCCCATTTCACTCTATCTCTCTCCTTATGGAGAATTCCAGTTACTGGAGAGGAGCTAAATTCCTTTTTTCTATAATATTAAGTAAGTTTTTATCTCTTTTATTTACTTGTTTTTAGTGGTTATTTAAGACATTGAGTTTGTTTATTTCGATTTACATTTGATTAAATATGATATTACATTTTCATATGTGTGAATTAGGATGTTTTTACTTGGACTGAAATTTGTTGGTTTGGTCTGGTTTGGTCTGTTTAAGTCTGGTATTGTCTGATATGATCTGGTCTGAACTGGTCTGGTAAATGTTTGGTCTCTGTGTATTTTATAACTACAGAAGTCTGGGGGTCTGTTTAAGTTTAGTCTGGTATGTTTAAGTCTGGTTTGGTCTGATCTGGAATTGAAAACAGTCCAAGTAAAAACACCCTTACATTTGTACACGTTTCTTGGAGTTACATTTAATAATACACGGAGTTACGTCTTCTTATACGCGATTTACATTTTCATTTTTCATGTGCGCGAGTTACAATTTTTATGCATAGTTGGCGTTCTCCTCACTACACTACCGCGTCGTGCACCCACATCTTTGCTGTGTGCTTCCAACTGATGATTGATGAAGAGACTTAGGTGATGATTGCGGGACTGCACTAACGGCAGCGAGGCAGAAGGGCTTCAACAATGATGACAAGAACACAATAACGATGATGACGGCTCCAGCTTTGACATCAATGACCGTGCTTTTGTTGCTATCGTAACTCCTCTTCTTCTTCTTCTACTATAACTTGTGCCATGTTAAATCTTGATTGGAGAATAAGAGATTTGGAGCTCCAACATTTCTTCATCGATTCCAATAACGATCTTATTCTTCACGTCGACTAGGGTTAGTCAACGGTTGCAACACTATCTTCTTTGATCGAGAGGGGTTGGGCCAGGAGTTGGTATTGAGGTCGGGGCACTGGGCCATTGACAAGGGGTATTGGGTCTTGGAGTAGTATGAGTGGTCGAGGGTGAGGGTTGAGGCAAGGGAGGGGGAGCGTTGAGATTATGGCATAGGTTATTGGGGCAGGGATTGGGAGGTGGGGTAGCATTGTAATGGTGTCAGTGGTGACGGTGGGGTCATAATGTCGGCGGGAGAAGGGACACTATGTCGCAGTGTCACTGCACGGAGATGAACCGTAATTGACTGGAGGTGGTCACGATTACTAATGTGGTCACTATGACCAACATGGTCACTATGACCAACATGGTCACTATGGTCGGCGGGGGTCACTAGTGGTCAGTGGCCAACGATGGTCACAGGTCGGTGGTGATCATTGTGATCGGCGATGATCAATGTCTGATGGTGGTCATTGACGAATTATTGGTCACCGTGGCTTCTAGACCTGTTTAGTGTCAACAGGTATCAGGAGGAACGATTAAGTAAAATTCATTTAAGATTTTTTAGATTTAGTGCTTATTTAATCCTCTTTTAGGAATAAGGCTTGGATGTTATTTTTGTAGTTCTTATTTAGTCCTATTTTATAAAATTAAAAAATCTTGTTTTATCCACATTTTACGTTCTAGTAATAATTTTCAAAAGGGAAAACTGTCAAATAGGTCCATCTACTTTTACGAAAAGTCAATTGAGCCCATGTACATTTTTTTTGAGTCAATTAAGTCCGTTAACTATCAAAAAACGAACAATTGGTTATTTAATAGGTTTCCAACCGGTTATATGGTTAACCGTTTACGTGGACTTCCATCTGGCATTTTTTTTTAAATATATTCTATTTTGTTTTCTTTTTTCTTCTCCTTTTTCTGTTTCCTCTTTTTTCAGTCCTCTCCCCCGTCTGCAGTCTGCACTCCATCTTCACATCCCCCCTTCAAATTGAACTCCTCTTCCCTCCCTGCACCTACAACTACAGATCTATGGGATGGCAGTGGCGGCTGTGGAGACCGGGTGGTTCGAGGTCGTTCTATGGAAGAGGCGGAGCTGGAGACCGGTGGTTGGAGGTCGTTCCATGGAAGAGGCGGAGTTCGAGACTATGGAGGTGGAAGCCGGAGGCTGTGAGTACGGTGGTAACGGAGATGGCTATGGAAGCCGGCACGGCTCGAGGTTACTTCAATGAAGGAGGCAAAGGGGAAGGCCACATAGGTGGTGGCCGGAGGCGGTGTGTATGGCGGGAGGGGCGGTTGAGGTGAAGGTGTATGTCGGACTCTGGAGGCGGTGGCTATGGAGGCTGGAAAGCGGAGGTGGTGGCTAGAGATGCGGAAGAGTCGAACTTGGTTCTGGTGACTTGGTGAGAGCCAAGAAAGAAAGAAACGAAGGGGACAACCGGGTTGGGAAGGTGCGGACCAGAAAGAAGAAGGAAGAGAAAAAAGAGAAAAGGGAAGAGAAAAAGGAAAGAAAAAAAAAAAGAAAAGTAAAAAAATCAGAAAACAGTAAAAAGAACGCCACGTAAGACATCCACGTAGGCGTTAACCGAATAACGAGTTGACAACCTATTAAATAGCCGACTTGATCGTTTTTTGATAGTTAACGGACTTGATTGACTCAAAAATATGTACATGAACTTAATTGATTTTTCATATATAAGTAGGTGGATCTAAATTTTCACTTTTCACTTTTCAAAACTCTAAATTGATTTCAATTAAAACACATACTTAATTGTGACAGGACAGAGTATATAATTGCGTATTAGCTTTTCTTTTGATTATTCGTGTCCACGTGTTTGTTTTTCGTTTTTATCTCTGTTGACTTGCACTTCTTTGATGGACAATTTAAATATTCTTTCTTATCTGGGTATCATTTGTTCAATTTGATTGACACTTGTTACTTTTTCTCAGGGTTCCTTTCATCATAATATCAACCCATGATGTCACAACACAACGTCTCACATATACACAATCCGTTTGTTTGTTTATCCGCACATATATTTTTTTTTAAATATCTAAAGGGTGTGAACAGTATGTGACAAATTATATTTTAAATATATTAATTGATGTTCAAATAAAAAAATTAGGAAAAATTGATAGTAATAGTCCCAACTATTGGTGGTCCGCTCATAATAATCTCAACTATTGATTATTTCAGAATAATCCCAATAATGGTCCGACGTGACCGACTATAAATAAATTCCTATAGTTTTTAAAGTGGATGAGAAGAAATATAGCAGGTAATCCTATAAATAATTCCAACTTTTTATTCTTACGTTTAATTCTATTAAAAATCACCTGTTATAGCAGGTAATATCCGGTCATGGACAATTAATGGCGGACAATCCATGTAGTTGGGATTATACAAAAATAATTAATAGTTGAGATTATTATTAGCGGACCAACAATAGTTGAGATTATTATTTTCAATTTTTCCAACAATCTTCCATAATAACTTCAGCTGAAAAATTACATAATTCGGAACACCAAATTAAAAATTATGTACTCCGTATCTAACAAAAAGTTGATTGATAAAATGAAAAAGTTGACAACAGGCTTGCAAAATTGGATCTTAGAACATCTCCAATACTATAATGTGCACGGTGCATGTGACATGAGAAATAACCATATAAATATTAGCAAATAAATTGTCTCTCCCCTTATTTGAATCATTTTATACAATTTTGGTAAATTTTTCTCTACAATGTCAAGAAGACCGTGTAGATGTTGATATTGTGGTTGACATTGCACATAAAAACTTACCCAAATTGTATAAAGTCATTCAAATAATAAAAGAGATAATTTATATGTTAATATATACTACGTATGTGGTTATCTATCATGTCACATGTGCACCGTACACATTGTAGCATTGAAGATGTTTTTAATATGAAACGATAAAAGTATGTGTTATTTATGGTATGTACTCCGTAATATTTTTTTGGTACATAAATTTGATAAGATGAAAGGTGGTCTCAATTGGTCTCATGTAAATATTGATGCATAGGGTGTGACCGTTTTGACCATCTCTACCATAATACCAAGCTTAAGGCCTCCAAACTGTGATCGGGGAAGTCCTTCATGCATTCCGGCGAGCAGCACACAACTCACCGTCCTCTACGCCGCCCTCTACCTCACCGCACTCGGAACCGGCGGCCTGAAGTCCAGCGTGTCCGGCTTCGGGTCCGACCAGTTCGATGAAACCGACAGCAAAGAGCGCGTGCAGATGGTGAAGTTCTTCAGCTGGTTCTTCTTCTTCATCAATGTGGGGTCTCTGGCCGCCGTGACGGTGCTAGTGTACATCCAGGACAGCTTTGGGCGGCGGTGGGGCTACGGCATTTGCGCCGGTGCCATCGTTGTGGCGGTTGTCGTCTTCCTGTCGGGGACGAAACGGTACCGTTTCAAGAAGCTTGTGGGGAGCCCGCTGACGCAGGTCGCTTCGGTTTTCGTGGCGGCGTGGAGGAACAGGCGCTTGGAGCTGCCGTCGGACTCTTCCCTTCTTTTCAACGTTGATGACGTCAACGGCGACCTGAAATGCAAGAATAAGCAAAAATTACCACACAGCAAACAGTTCCGGTTAGTTTGCTTTACTCGATGATTTGCACCACATTAAATTTAATGAGTTAGTTTTGTTTATCTTGTGGTTCGATGAATTTGACACTTTAAATGAGCTTATAGGGTTGAAATCATTCCAATTTAAGGATATTGGCATTTAATGATATGTAGATGCTATAATTGATTAATGAGTATATGTACACTAAAAAAAAGTAAAATGCAGATGAAAGTGAAGGAGTGGAAGTTCATTTATATGGAGTACTTTTGGACTAATCAGTTTTTTTTAGAAGTTTATCTCTCTCAGTTTTTAAAAAACTACTTTTCGAAGCAATATGGAGCATCCGAAAGTACTTTTTAACTTTCACTCAAACACTCTAATATTTGTCTATACTCTCTGAAAGAATAGAAGCAGTTTTAAAAATTAGATCCAAACATTCCTAAGAGGCTAACCGAGTTCATTGCAATAAAAGCTTGTTTCGATAGAGGTTAATCCATATAAGTATGCCAAAATTACTTAAAGAAATGATCATAAATACAATTAAAACACGATTGTGGTTTGTAATGATGTTTTTAATTGGACTTATTACGGTACAAGATCAAATCAGGCCATACCGCATCATACCAGATCAAATTAGACTAGACAAGATCAAGCAATTACAAAATACATAGATCAGACATCTATCAGATCAGACCAGACTATAAAATTTCAATTCAAATAAAAACATCCTAAATAGGAGTTCATGTTTTATATTCCTTAAATTGAACTAAATATTACATTTGTACCTTTAATATTATTAACGTAAAATTGCTTCAAATAGGACCAAAACATGGGGTCTGTTTGCAATAGCTTCTGCTTTTAAAAAAATGTTTTTTTTTAATGAAATGGGGAGAAGTGATTAAATAAAAGTTGATAGTGTTTGAGAAAAAAGTGATTTTGAAAAGTAAAAGTGGGTAGTGTTTGGTAAAATAAGTGCTTTTTGTGTAATAGAAAAAGTAAAAGCACTTTTGACGCGGAAGCCGAGAAAAATAAAAGTTATAGTGTTTGGGAAAATAAGTGCTTTTTTAAAGCCAAAAGCTGAGAAGTGCTTTTTTAAAAACAGTTGCAAACCAACCCATGGTCATGTTTTAACAGGACCAATTATTACATTTCTACCCTTCATATAAATAATAATCTCCTTAAATCCCCAGCGTAATTAGCGTAGTCTGGTGATTGCGGCGGTCTTACAGCGGCGACAGTACGGCAGTAGATCTCCGACCACCGGCGGCAAAATTTTGGCCACGCGGTGGTTCAGTTGCGGCATAACTCCAACCTCTATAAGAATATTTTTGCCCCCATCATAAATAATATGTCCCATTTAAGGAATTTGAATGTGTTTGACTTCTATTGGTGTGGTATAATTAATTGTCTAAATATGATTTGGTTGGAGGGTATAACCAAAGGCATTCTTAATTTTACCCTAAGATAGTTGCACGTACACAACTTGGAGTCCGAAAAACCTTCGGCCTGAGATGCAAAGATATCGATCATTTTAGAGGTGAGTGCGGCGTCTACCGTCCATGGAACGTGTCATTTATGGGACAAAAAGATATGCACTACTCGAAATGCAAAATTAGTGTCATTTCTTCCTTTATTTCATTGTTTTGCTGCTGTCCCCTTCCAAAAAGGCAATCATTGTCACCAAGGAATCAAATTTGTGAGGGTATTATAGCTAGGTTACGTGGAGGTTTATATGAAGCGATTTCCTTGAACACCATCATACTGGTTAAGTGGTTAACATTAACTAATGGCATTCCAAATTTCAGAATAAAGTTGCACTTATGGCTATCCACCGAAAGACAATAAAAACACCAAAGTTGTTTCTTATTAGTCAAACAATCTTGTGGATCACATCTCAAAATTGCTCTAAATAGGAGTAAATGTATAAAAGTTCCAAATAAAATTGTTGTTTCCTCAAATATAAGTAATTACTGCAGAACTTGAATAATCGTTTTTTTTTTATTATCAAACTGTAGGGTAGGGGTGGGAGATCGGATGTACGCAATCTTATAAAGTGATTGCGGCTATTAGCCCTGCACTTAAACAATCGTTTTTTTATCAAACTGTTATTTTTTTTAAAACCTTTTCGGTCACTAAAAGTTAGCGGCTATTACAAAGTCACAAAAGTATCTTTTCCACTAGTTATGTCAAACATACTCTTAAATCTACACTAACTAAAAAGAAAATGTAAATTAAACGAGTGAAGGACAAACAATTTTTGTAGGGATTTAAAATAATTTAACATTAACAGTGTCCACAAAATAGATTTCCAATGAATTTCTAAGATGTTTATAGTCTATGGTCTTGAATATCCACTGATACAATCAAATTCTAATTGAATATTAGGAAATATATAAGAATCTAAGGATAAATGATGGGATTTCGGTAAGCATGCATGCAATGTTTTGTAAACTAAACAACTCACAAGAATTCATACTAATTATCTATTTAAGAGAATCTATAAAAATTATAGAAAAGCGAGGACACATAGAGTTATAGAGTTTAATGAAATGTATGTACAAAACTTCTAACTTTGAAGTGGTAGAGAATCTTGGAGAAAATAACTCTAATGAGTAAAAGTCATGTTAATTCACAAAACATAATCATACATGATTCTTTCTCAATATATGGGTAGTATGGCTAGACATAAGTAGAATGAAATAAGAAAAAGGAAACATCCAGTGGTATGATACACACTATTTGATATCAAATTAGGTAAAAAAGATATAAGTCATGGAAAATACACAATATTTTCGTTATACAAGAGGTAATTTTTTCTAGAATTTTTAGAATTTCGAATCAAAATGTTAAAATTCCATAATGAGAAAGGCAAACACTGAAACACATATAACAGCAAGTCAACAATTATACCCCAGAGCCGCAAAGGCTTCCCACCTAGGATGTGGTAAGATGTCGGATTTATGCAACCTAATCCCTGTACTAAAGCACATGAAAACTGTTTTCGGATTACTCATGATGAAAATCGTGTCTAAAATTGCATGGACTGACTGATGTTTCATAACAAAGAAGCGCAAACATGCAATCAGAGGCCATGTAGCTATTTTGCTTTATTCCATTATATTCCCAAGCCAAAAAAACAGTGAGTCTTTGGCTTCACTGGAAATGATGAAGGAAGTGTTTGCGATTGCTTCTACTTTAAAAAAGTGATTTTAGAGAAAATGCTTAATAGTAAACGTTAGTAGTGTTTGAGAATTTTTTTTTTTTTGAAAAATTAAAAGTGGTTAGTGTTTGATAAAAAGTGATTTTTGTGTGATAGAAAAATTGAAACACACTTTAAAGCAACTTTCATCCTGCTTTTAAGTGCTTAATTTAAGTAGAAACTCTTATTTGAAAACACTCATTTCAGTTGTTTTTAAGCTGAAAAACACTTTGTTTAATCTCTTGCAAATACTCCCGAAAAAGAAAGGCAAACACATGTTTGCATTAAATTTTGCAGTCTGATCAATTTGGCCTCTCATCTGTACTTTGCTCTGCAGGTTCTTAGACAAGGCGGCAATCAGAGGCCATGAAGTTACAGTGGAAAGCAAATGGTCTCTAGCAACGTTAACAGACGTGGAAGAGGTCAAACAACTGATTAGAATGTTGCCCACTTGGGCCACGACCATAATGTTTTGGACTGTCTATGCTCAAATGACAACATTTTCTGTGTCACAAGCCACCACCATGGACCGCCACATCGGAAAATCCTTTGAGATCCCCGCCGCTTCGTTGACCGTCTTCTTCGTGGGGAGCATCCTGTTGACCGTCCCGGTATACGACCGCGTTGTGGTCCCCGTCGCTCGACGCTTCCTAAGGAACCCACAAGGTCTATCCCCATTGCAACGAATTGGCGTTGGTCTAGTGTTCTCAATATTTGCCATGGTAGCCGCGGCATTGACCGAAGTCAAACGGCTAAAGGTTGCCCACTCAAGCGGTATGACCGGTCGCATGAACGCCACGGTACCTAGGAGTGTGTTTTGGCTGGTCCCACAGTTCTTCCTAGTTGGTGCAGGAGAGGCCTTCACTTACATAGGACAGCTTGATTTCTTCCTAAGGGAGTGTCCTAAGGGGATGAAAACAATGAGCACAGGTCTTTTCCTAAGCACAATATCTCTGGGGTTCTTCTTCAGCTCAATCTTGGTTACCATTGTCCATAAGGTGACAGGACACAAAAGGCCATGGCTGGCTAATAACCTCAACCAAGGGAGGCTATATGATTTCTATTGGTTGTTATCACTTCTAAGTGTGATTAACTTGATGCTTTTCTTGTTCTGCTCAAGATGGTATGTGTACAAGGAGGAGAGGCTTGCAAGTGAGGGGATTGAACTAGAGGAGGCATCAGCAGAAACTGCAGCCTGCCATTAATTTACACATGAATGATGAGAATTGAAGGGAATACAATGTTTTTTGTTCTCTATCTGCATGTGTATGTTCATAAGAAGCATGTATGTGTTTCAAACCTTTTTAGTGTCTATATTAAAATCCTAAGTTGCATGATGCAACTAGATCTTCTTTAGTTTCTAAGTATTTTAACAATTGATTATGTATATGTGTATGTATATTTATATGTATAGAGGTAGCTAGGAAGCCTAGCAAGGCCCTAGTTCACTCAAAATTTGGAAAATAGTTACTGGCATATTTTATGTACTACATATTGGTTTACAAGAGTATCAGATCTTTGTATGGAATCACCCTAATATTTTTTCTATAAATGCCACTAGGCGAGTCATTGAGGTGGCAACATGGTAGGATTGTAGGAATGAATGTTGGTGATAGTGATGAAGAAAAAAGGTCCAGATTCATGGCTTATGACTTGGCAGGAACAAGTTCTGAGAAGAAAAACAATCCATTAGGGATGAAGAAATCAACATGAAAATGCAGTCATTAGTTAAGGAGAGTTGGAAATTCATACTTTTGCTAAAAAAGTGTCAAGACATCGGGCGCGGATCCAGAAAAATAAGTTGAAATGGGCTCCAGATTGATTATACTATATTTAAGCATTAGCGAGGTGGACTAAATATTAAAGATGGAAAACATTTACACTAAAAATTTCAAACAATATTTAATTTTCTTGTATTTCAGTTCACTATAGCAAAAAATGGGTGGCCGGTAGGGTAATGGCGGCATCTGATTACTTCAAAGTTCAAACTCATCATATGCATAACACATGGCCGGGTCTGGATGTTTTGATTGAGTTGGCCACCACACCCATGTTCCTAAAAAATCATTTTGCCCAGAATAATGCAAGCTAAGTGAACAGAGAAAAATAAAAGATCAAAGACAAAGAAAGAGGGGAGAAGAAGAAAAGGTTGCCTGAAAGATTCGTTCGGGATTGAGCAAAAGCAAGCAGAAGAAAAAAAGGTGAGAGAAATAAACAATTAAAATTTAATCTGCAAATGTTTACGAGTTACTCCGTATCAGTTATCACTATCATGTTTTGAATATGAAAACATTTATTTATTAATGATTAAATGATTTGTACAAAAATAATTCGGACGGTCCAAACTTACAATGTGAAGTGATATAGATTTGAAAAGTTAGAAAGGAACATAAGAATTTGTTACAATGCAGACTCCTTTATGAACATAAAGAAGCTGTTTCGTTCACCTGATCTGAATGTTTCTGATCTGAATTTTTTAAGTTCTGATCTGATCTGATCTGAATTTTTCTGATCTGATCTGATCTGAATTTTTCTGATCTGATCTGAATTATTATTACTCCGAAGTAATAATAATTACAAAAATAACAACAAGAACAACAATCATATTAATAATAATGATGATTATAATTATAATTACATTGTAAATCATAATTATAATTATAATTATAAATATATTATATTATATTATATTATATTATATTATATTATATTATATTATATTATATTATATTATATTATATTATATTATATTATATTATATTATATTATATTATATTATATTATATTATATTATATTATATTATATTATATTATATTATATTATATTATATTATATTATATTATATTATATTATATTATATTATATTATATTATATTATATTATATTATATTATATTATATTATATTATATTATATTATATTATTATCATATAATAATAATTTTATATTATTAACATTATTATTATATTATTATTAATAATATTATTATATTAATATATTAATATTATTAACAATAACTATAATATAATAATCATAATTAATATAATAATAAAAGTGATAAATCATGTTTGAATTTTTTGATCTGATCTGATCTGATCTGAATGTTTCTGATCTGGTCTGATCTGGTCTGAATCTTTCTGATCTTATCTGAATGTTGCTGATCTGATCTGAATCTTTCTGATCCGATCCGAATGTTTCTGATCTGATCTGATCTGATCTGAATCTTTCTGATCTGATCTGATCTGATCTGAATCTTTCTGATCTGATCTGATCTGATCTGAATAAAATAAGATTAAGGAATAAGTAATAAGATTAAGACGAACGGAACAGCTTCAAAATCATTTCTTATTAAATCTATAATAAAAAGAAAAAAATGAATAAAAATAATCTCAACTACTAATGATCTGTTTGAAATAATGCAAGGTATCAATTATCTCAAAATAATTCTAACTATTGATAAGTATTCTCAAAATGCTCTCCACTAACTCGTAAATTTGTTAAGTCATTTAAGGGGTTATAAGTGATGGAGTAATTTAATTTTTTTTTCAATAATTGGAACTATTTTGAGATAACTGATACTTCGGATCATTTAAATATTTCTTTGCAATGATTTACTGCGCGTGGAGCTTAAATTAGTATTAGGTGTGCATCAAGAGTATAACAATAAATGATTATGATTATTAATTAACAAAACAAAAGAACCATCAAGGCACTTAGGAGTTCGAAAAATTAGCTTCCTTAATTCGGATAACCCTCTTTCCTATTATAGACAATGTTTGTCATTGCTTTTACTTTAAAAAAATGATTTTCTAAAATGGTTTTAGAAAATGTATTTAATAATAAAACTTAGGGCCTGTTTACTTGTGACTTAATGGGCTTAATGGATAGTGTGAATTAATCATTCAGCTATATGGTAATGTTTACTTAGGACTTTTTAAAGACAGTGACTTATTCGCAATTACATTTCATTACTTATTCGGTCAGCTCAGTTTTAGCACTGCTTCCGATTCAGACGTGTAGGTGTGAGGGGAGTATATTTTTTAACCCCGCTTCTCCGTTCTTTTATTTCATCGCATGCATCACCATTCGCTGGAACACTCTGCGAACTACCCCCATCGGACTGCCCATGGAGTGATGGAGCCATCACGAAAGCAGCGAAGGGGATCTCATTCCCTACCTTCTTCTCATCTTGGTGTTTTCTCTTGATTTATAATTGTTTTACTACGTATATTTTATTCTTTTTAAATTGCGTCTCTTCTCCTTGTTCCCGATCTAATTATTCTCTTCCTGATAATCTACTTTCGATTTTCTCATAAAATTGCTATGTATATGTCAACATCTTACTTTAGAATTTTGAAACTACAATCGATTTTTAGCTAAGCCATTGAAGACCACGATGCATCAGATACGGAGATACCTTACATTTTGATTTTGAAATTTAAATATAGTGGCTTAAGGTTTTCTCAAAGCAAAAAGTTTACTTGCTTACGGATTAGATTTACAAATGAAGAATAATTGTAGATGAAGAGCAACTACGAATTACAAACAGAGAGTTCAAAGACTGTAATTTGTGCCTTCAGGAATTGCAAACACAAAGAAGTTAAAATTCATACTTTGTTTGTTCACACACAACAAATTACTTATGCATACGCAACCCGAACATCATTGAGAATAGCAAAACAAAACATAATGCAGAATATATGTTCAATGCTTATTACAGGGTAAATTGGTCATTTAATATAATTCAGACTACACATTCAGCACACATAGTAAACAGCATGATATCATAATGTCACTTAATCTAGATAGACGTCTTAATACAGACAAACATCTTAATCCAGACAGGACTTGATGGGAAAAAAGTAAGCAACCCCTTAGTAATGTTTGAGAAAAAATGCTTCTAAAGAAGCAAAAATTGATAGTGTTTAGTAAAATACTCCGTAAATGTTTTTTGTGTAATAATACGTTGTAAAAAAAATGAAAAACAATTTAAACTTTAAAACACACTTTCACCTGCTTTCAACTTTTCATTTTTAAGTGTTTAATTTAAGCAGAAACTGTCACTTGAAAAATTTGATAGGGTGTTTGATGTATGACGACAAAAGCGTTTTCTTGATTGAACTTATCCTCTGTTTTTAACAACTTTGTCCTCTTTGAATTTTTTAATGTTAAACTTAAACTTTTGCTGATTATATATTTTAGGGAAAACTATCAAATAAGCCCCTGTACTATACCGAAAAAGTCAATTAGGCCCTCGTACTTTACAAACACTCAATTAAGTCCTTGAACTATTAAAAAACATTCAATGAAGCCCTTTTGGTCGGTAAGTAATCGGTTTCCCGGTTAAATGTAACTCGTTTCCCGACAGCCGCCGTTGCCGGGGTTCGAGCACATCATCGCCGTCATAACCGTTTAAACGAGAAACCGGTTACTTACTGACCGAAAGGGCTTAATTGAACGTTTTTTAATAGTTCGGGGACTTAATTGAGTGTTTGTAAAGTACGAGAGCCTAATCGACTTTTTTGACATAGTACGGGGGCTAATTTGATAGTTTTCCCTATATTTTAATAGAAAATTATAAGTTTTTCTATGCGAGCCTAGGTTTCATACGTAGTATTTAAAAAAAAAAAAATCAAAACATATAAATATTTCTATATGCACACTCGAAAAAGGGAGGGCGATTACCCCCCTCCAAACTCCTTCAAATCTCTGCCACGGCTTCCCATAACAATATTTCCATTTTCGATATAATGGGAGCATGAATTATGAGATGCTGTTTTGTATTTTTAATATATCCTCAGTGTTGAAAAATGAAAACGAGTAGCTGCTTTTGGACTGGGAGGACGGAGTATAAAATTCAAAGAAAATTGCAAACCAAGCATCAATATAAATAGAGAAAGGCATCGTGTTAACTGTAGATCATGTTAATTTCTGGTAATAAATATATCTACTCTTCAGTGTTTTTCATGATTTTGCTATAATGATCTTTTTAGAACTTTACAAGACTAGCAGCCCTGTTTAATTGGCTTGTTTTCTTAGATACATCAGTTGCAGTTTTTTTTTTGGATAGCAAAGCTAATACAAACAATTACCTAAATTAAAGCTCTGCTGAAGCCAAAAAATAAAAAATAAAAAAACTAACACAATTATAGTGGCAAGGGGGTAAGAGATTACAAAACTAGGCCTACAAAACATGGAACAGAAACACAACTCTGTTTGCACAATTACTCGCCATCAGAAACCCTAGTTGAGGTGTGCTTTACATGACCCAAGAGACTTTCATCAATCTGACCAAATATATTTGGGCATTCTTCCCATCTTCTTTTCTCCCGTGCTTCCCAATAGCCACCAACATAACGGAAAGTGCCATCATTTCCATCTCTTTTGAACCATCTTGGCTTCCAACCTGTTTCTTGTAACTTCTTGGACTGGGAAAGAAGAAAGATGTTTCATGACACATGCATATAAGTATAACTGTGAAACGTTCTTATATTCATTATGAATCAGAGAAGCAGTGAACACTTTTCAAGATTATGAAACTTATTATACACTTTCATTACGAAAGATTAACAGATTGTGAAACTTGGCAACATGTGGTTTGCATCTCAAAATTTGTACCATGAAGAATACTTTAATGTGTCCATGTTACTCCAAAGTCCAAACCATGTACCATGAAGACATGCTTGCCCCCACCCTGCCCAGCATATGGACACATTAGTGTCCTTCACCCCTCCTCACCATGTCCAATTCACCCTTCACCACAGGCCAACACCATTTATCCTTTACAGCGGGTGCCCTCAGTCCCCGTACCCATTCATATTCGCAATGGGAATAAGTCATGGGATCTATGTGTGTTCTATGAGAGTTAAATGGGACCCACCTTACCTTATTTCTATAAAAAATACTATATATTTATTATAATTTTATTATTTCATTTTCTAAACATAGTTTTGCTGTCATAATAAAAATACACATTCTGTTTCATAACCAACTTAACTTTTACAATTTTCACAATCAATATTATGGACACCGCACATTGGCTCTGTAGGTCTCAACAAACATGTAGAAAAGTCATCATACAATGTACGAATTCCTTCTAGGTAGAACTAGATCCCCTATCAATAAGAAGTAAGATTTCAGAGTTTTAAAACAATCATTAATATTTCAGTTTTAAGACAATTCAGATTTTACTTGGGTGATGACCGTAAAAACAGACATAACTAGGAGTCCATGTTCAATTCTAATTATTTAAGGCAAAACACGATTTAGGAAAAAAGTTGAGTGTCATCTTGAGGAAGGATAAACAGTAAATCATCTACATCTGTTTCTATGCATTTTTTTGAAACTAAAGTTAAGAAAGAATAAAACCTTAAACACCACATCAGTCCAAAAGGGATGTTATTTCTACTTTTCATTTGTTGAAACAAACTCTTCTCTCTTTGCTTACTTTCAGACTGATATTTATATCATTTTCAAATTTGATCCAATAGGTTTAAATAGAACTAGTTGTCAAAGATGCAAAGTTCAAGAAATAATAAACTACAACATCCATGTCTCAATCCCAAAAGAGTTTACAGTCGGCTAACATGGATTGACATATGAAATCGCAGTTAGAAAAAGATTAAAAAGAGAACGGGGGAGACAAACAAAAACAGATCAATCCTCCACATGTATACTCTCCCTCCGAGGAAGCGGTCCAGCTCAGCTGGTCGCCGACTCACTCTCCCTTATGGGAGGTCTCGGGTTCGAAACTCAATAGAGTGAGTTTCAGCCCAGTTTACTCCAGCCCCCTCCCCTCAAGCCCCCTCCCCCAGACGCCCCCTGGAGTAAAAAAAACTCTCCCTCCACTTAGCGCTATTCAAAGTCACACTCTCATCTAACCCAAGAAGTTATATATCATTCATGACCACTCTAATCCACATCTTTTTGGGACGTCCTCTCCCTCGTCCCCTGCCTCTTCTCCCCACCTCTCAATTCCTCTAATAGGTTCTAAACAAAAAATTTAAGAGTAAAAAATAAACCAAACTATAAACATGTTCAATCAAGACTTGTAATCCAGATTGTGACATCCTATATATGGAACAGTGGGGGTACCACAGAAGGATTCCATTTAACTTACCATTCTCTGTCGTGTCTCTAGTCGTAGTTTCTCATCATTTGATTTGTCATATTCTCCGTTTTCCAGATATCTTTGATCCGGTCTAAGTCTTGAATCAGTTGGTGGGAGTTTCTCCTTCATACATAATTAATCATATTTAATACTCAGGATCAGATACATATCTTTAAATGATACTCCGTAATTATTATCACATTAATAATTTGTTAAAAGTTAAAACATCATGATACCTGCAACCCTGGTGTTAACTCATTCAGAGTAATTGCAAAAGCAGTCATGTTGTATCGGGTGAGATTCTCGGGAGGCCGATTGCTCTTCCACAATAATGATGCATTCGAGATATCTTTTGGTCTGCTATTATATTCTCCATTTAAATAATACATGCTCTCGTCCCACTTTCCAAATAATGTAGCTACTTTCCCTCCAGTTTTGTGGTCAACAAATCCATGAACCTGTACAATGTTTTTTGTTTTGTTTCACTTAAGTCATTCTGCCACAATTGAGTCACAATGGATAATAATGTATCACCCGCCTTTTACCTGATGCGGATTGCGTTCAAGAAGTGATTGCTCTTTGAACTTGAGGGTGCAAGAGTGTTGACGATTACCACGTATATGCATCGTTCCATGGTGGTCACAGTATATCTTGCCAAGGATAATATTATAGATGCTTGTTGTGACCTGGAGACAAAATCGGCATATCGAATTACTTATTACAGCATATAGAGTGATGATATCATGTTTATTGCAAATTGTTTTAATTGCCAACGGTAATATCATACACCGTAGTGCCGTACATACCTTATTCCATTGGAATATCTCCCCATCGTCAAATTCTAAAGTTAGGGTTCCAACTGGGTCAAGTTGAATTGATCTCCCCCAAAACTTAGACTTAAGATTACTGTCACCCCAAAATTTCCAGCCTTTACCTTCACAATGACAGGCAATAAGTGTTGGGTGGTGGCTAACCTGTTTTAAAATATGACATATCACCAACACGAATATAAATGAGATGTGGTTCGTAAACTAAATCCCCAATTTTGGAGATTCATACCAAACTAATCTCCTTTTCAAACAATTATATAAGCTAAGGTAAAGTAATAAGGAATATCTAATTCCAATGGTCTATTGCAATCTTAATTCAGTGCAAGTATGTACTTCCTAAATAATTTGTAGGTAACGAATGAAACAGTTCCCTATCCATCACTAAGGTAGTGTTATTTTCACTTTTTTTTTTCTTAATCTCAATCTTGTTTAGTTGAGACAAGAAACGCTCAAATAGATGGGACAAGAAACATTCAGACCGAATAAGAAAGATTCATATCAGCTAAATGAGATACTTTGTTGCGGATAAAAAATATCAGATCACACCAAATAGACTAGACCAGAAAAAACCAGAATTTTTAACCACATCAGACCTTCTAATATTCAAATCACACTTTTTCCTAAGATGATAAAATGAAACTAACACAATGTAACTCCTAGTAAATAAGAAAGCATGTTGACATTCAAACAAAAGAGTGTGTGAACACTACAAAGAATATCAGCTCAGACATCTTTTATCTTTTATTTACTTAATAATAGTTCAAGAAATACTAATTTGATAAAATACCTTCTCGGAAAAGAACCTGATTCCCTTCTCGGGATAATCAGCTTCATAGGTTTCTCCTAACAAAGGGTTGAAGGGTTTGCAGTGTCGACCTTCTGTCGAAGCATATCCAGACACAGCAAAAGCAGCAACATTCAAAATCCTTAGGAGACTGTTCCCCTAAAAGTACCACATAATGCCAAACTTTTTAAAAAAGGACCCAAATGGATTTCTCAAAATCACTACACGTAAGTGAAACTAAATTCACAACACTTAAAAGCGTGTAAATCCGAGACTAATAGTGCTCCTTATTCAAACAACAAAAGTTACTAAATAGTACTCCGTAGTAAACCCAATGAAATGAAACTTCCTTTGAAAAAAGAGATACGAATCACCAAGACTAAAAAGAAATTATCTAATATCTACATGAATCCATGATCATGCACATTTCAGATATTCAGTAAGCATGAATACATAAATGCAAAAAGCGGCACACGCAAATTTAAATGTAGATTTTCAGAAGATGTATCGTAAAAAGGAATGCAAGAACTTTAAATAGGGACAGAGGTATTAAGTTTTAATAGTTGCAGACTTTCAGTCTAATTCCTAATAGAAGCAGCCACGCGGGCCCCTAAGAATTCGAATTTGGGGCAAAATAGAAAGCTTATTCATCCATGTAAACTTTCATAGAAAATTGCGCTCAATTTTGTTTTTACCGAACTTGGTATGGGGGCAGGATTAGCCCCACTCTAGCTAGCTACGCAGATGGAACAGAAAAAAGGACATTTTAATAACTTACCGCTTTGCCATGCTCATATGCCTGATCTAGAAGATAGGAGTACTCGAACTCTTCACAACCTTTCTGAAGTGATGATAACGGTTCATTGAAATACACCGGAAGGCAAATTCGTGTAAGATCTTTTCCAACATTGTCTTTAATCACAGACCATAAACTAACAGCCTTCTCTTTTTCTATTGGATCCGGTAGTTTTTGTCTCCTCGCTACTTGTGCACACACTGGATTGTTGTTTCCGGAACTTATACTTATCATGCTACTACTCTGGTTTTTGAATTCGAGGTATTTATTATGACATTCATTTGCACCTACTGAATCACAAGTGATGAAGGGGTCTGCAAAATGGTCATCTGTGTCAAAAAAATCAAGTTCCTCTTCATCTGACACCTCTTCCAGCTCCTGCTTTTCAGCATCATCGGATGATGGGGTTGTGCTCCATTCTGAAACACATGCATATGTGATATTTAATCTGTAAGCTCATAGAGCCTGTAATACGCAGTTGACTAAATTTACTTGACATCGACTAGTTATTGTGGCAATAAATGAGCCAAATTGTTGATACCCAATTATTGTGAAATTTCTCTTTCATAACATAAATTGAGCAATAGCTCAGCTAACCTGGAATGTTAACTGGGCTGGTCCAATTATTTTTGCAGCCTATAGCAATATTTTATCATGCACAAAACTTGTTGAGGTATTGGATACACCTTCTTACAATAAGCTTAACCATTCTCAATATTTTATCAGCCTATAGCTCCAATTCACTATTTTCCCAGCTGTCCCACGGAACTCAAACTATTAGTTTACCAAATTAATAAGTGTTGGAGGTATTGGATACACCTTAAAATAAGCTTAACCATTCTCACAAAACTTGTTGAAAGAACGTCAATTCTTTAAATTCAAGACACATATTTGATGTCCGATTTGATCACCAACAACTTGAACCTAAAATGCCTTATCGGGTAGCCTACCCCTAGAACCGGCCATGGATGTTATGAACTTCTACCTGGTGTTGGGATTACAAGAGCGCGCGGTACATGACACAAAAGAGTTGAAAATGAGATCATTAGTGAATGATCTTGAGATATTCTCTCTTAGTTTCAATATTCCCTCAGGGGCTTGCTATTAGGCAAAGACGAAGCTAATGGGATTGAGAGGGTGTTGCTTTCCCCGCACCCTCACCCACCCATCGTGAAGTTTAGTCATTTTACAGTGTAGGTATATGTAAGCTAAAAAAAACTACCAAAATAATGATTTGTAACACACCAAATCCTTTTGAAAAAGTTTTGTAATGATTTAACCAATTTTCTTTAAAATTTTGCTACAGTTTATATCTATCAACTGTTTGTACTAGAATTCTGTTGCAAAGTCCATTGCAGATTGTGAAAGTATATTAGAATATACTTTAGAAGGATAAACCATTTATTGACCGAGCTCGGACTGAAGACATCAATGTCTGCTAAATTGTGGTGTGATAACCAAGCTTCTATACACATAGCAAACAATCCTGTATTTCATGAGAGAACAAAGCATATTGAGGTCGATTGTCATTTTATTCGAGAGAAGATACAAAAAGGATTGATCTCTACAGGATATGTGAAGACTGGGGAACAACTTGGAGATTTATTCACTAAAGCACTAAATGGAATTCGAGTTGGTTATTTATGTAACAAGTTGGGCATGATAGATATCTATGCTCCAACTTGAGGGGGAGTGTGAAAGTATATTAGAATATACTTTAGAATATGCTTTAGAATATACTAGGAATATACCATATATAGTATTATTGTATAGCATCTTTTATAGGAATATTCTATCTTTGTAATCTATATTTATAGGGCTTTACCCTTCAATGAAATATACAGAAAATCCTTTCCATTTCTTAGTTGTTCATATGCTCTATTTCAACACAGATAGTGCGTTTTTCTTTTGCACCCCATGAACAACAAATGTATAGAATGGAAAACTTGTGTTTTGTTACAGAGTAACTCATAATCATTAGTAACTCTCTGATCCGAACACAATGAGCGTTTTATGTTTTATTCTTTGATTTTTTGAATGATATGACAAAATTAATCCCACTCTTGTATGATTTTAAAAACCTATCACATTTAGGTGTTTGGATCTACCTCTTAAAGTTGTTTCTGCTGGAAGAAGAAATAGATATGAGAGTGTTTGGGTAAAAGTGTAGAGATGCTTGGGTAAAACGAAGTCATAATTTGGAACAAGGGATGCCATGTGTAAAATAGAAAACAAGTGTCACCCAAAATGAGTATTTTATACATGTAAGAAAGGTTCATATAGAGCATTCTTGTCACTCTAAATTTAGAGCCCGTTTGGAAACACTACAACCAACCGAATCTGGTGAAACTGAAGATATTCTTATTGAAGTGGCTGAATTAACTAAATATGTTGAATTATGAAAAAAAATTATATTAAAACATATTGTATTAATAATATTAAGAAAAAAGTTATATTTCATATCAAAACATCTAAAATTGTCATGTACATTAACTTTAGACAATTCAGACAAAAAAATGACCCCAACTTTATTTATTTTGATTATTACATAATCCAAAAAATAAAAGTTACATCTTTGGTATAAAAGTCATTTGATAAGGTTATAAGCTAAAAATAAATGTTGCCATTTGAGCTTTTAATTTTTCGTGTAGTTCCTTGACGAAGTGAGTCACTATATTAAATTGTCCCATTGAGTGCCTTTTAGTGTAATACGGAGTAGTATATGCTGCCATACTGGTATGATTTTATAAATAGTGTTGTTTTGTGAGTTGTATAACTAGTTGTTGAAGTAGTATATGCGGAGTACTTGTACGATTTTATGAATAGTTTTGTGTGAGTTGTAAAACTAGTTGTCGTTGAAAAGGATGTTCATGCACATTCAATTACTGGAGATATACGGAAGTATCTATATTTTTGAGTGAGAAACATGTACGGATTGGTTTAGCATTATTTACCACTGAACTTTCCACGCAATCGGTAATCTCGACACAGAACTCCAGAGGATTCGGCTTCAATATTAGCTGTCTGCACAAATAAGGTTAACATAAAATGTTCAGTGCATCTGAAGTTCTGAATAAGTGAGAATAAAAAAAAATATGATAGGGAATGATTTTACAAAGGCCCCATTTTGTTTTTGAAGAAAATCATTCATACTTGGCTTTTACTAAAAAGAAGCCAACAACCCACGCCACCATGTTCCACAATGAGACTCAAATTAGAAATGATTGCTCGCACTCAAACAGTGCTGGCGCTTCGCAATGTCCCTTTCTAAACTATGTTCAATCATAGACCTTAGTCCCAATTATATTAGTGTTGATGACAACAACATCCGATTTTAATTGTAAAAGTTTTTGAAATCAACTAACATTAATCTATACATGATATTGAAGTAAAAAAGATTAGTAAGACAAAACGATAAGATAAAGATGGGATAAAGTTAAATACAAAATAAAGAATAAATGACAGGATAAAATAAGAAGGATATAGAACATAAGTAATATTACCTCTTCTGTTCCGTTGGAAGGTTCTCATAGCAAAATGACACGATTATTTAGACAATAATTAAATAAAGTACTTTGAGTATATTTTAAGAAATAATTTTACTCCCTCCGTCTCTTATAACTTTGCCAACTTTCCTTTTTTGGTTGTCCCAAAAACTTTGCCACTTTCCCTTTTAATCAATCAATTTGTGGCTCCTGTTATTTCTCTCTCCTCTGCACAAATATCTACCACACAGTTTTTACTTTATTATTTTACGTGCCGGTCAAACTTGGCAAACCTTTAAGGGACGGAGGGAGTAATAGGTACTGTATATATTAAAATGTAGTTAGTATTGATAATTGTGATGTTATAAATGTATTATTTTTAATATTTAATGATTAATTTGTCACTTAAGATTGTTAATTATTTCCTAAAATGAAAATGAGAATCTTTATATGGACGTCCAAAAAAGGAAAGTGAGAACCTTCTAATGGGCGGAGAGAGTATAAAAACATAAGAAAGAATATAGAAGATTAAAGATGTGAAAATTAAGAGTAGGACCAGATGAAAATAGTTTGAGAAGTTAAAAATAATATTTTGACAGACAAAAAGTACAAAGATTATTTACAAATGAGACAAAGTGTGACAATAAGTTACTACTTAGATAACTCATTTCATTAATTAAAATAAAAATAACAACTAACAACAACATTAACATCTAAGCCTTCGTCCAAAAAATGTTTGAGTTAGGCTAACATAAATCGATTGTCAAAAGAGAAAAAAAGATAAGACAGAAAAAAGATAAGGTATGATAAAAAAAATACTTCTCCTTTTGTCCCTGATTAAACTTCCAAATTTCATTTTTGGGCGTCCAAAATAAAACTCCACCTTCTCTATTTGGTAAAGAATTTGTGATTCACAATAATTCTTTCACATTCTTCTCTTTTTTGTACAACTCTCAATCACACAATATTCACTATCTTACTCTCTGTGTCAAATGTACTTTGGAAGTAAATTTAGGAACGGAGGGAGTATAAAATAGATATAAGATGTACATAAAAGTGATAAAATAAAAAGATAAAAAAATACATATATATAAAGATAAAAGGATAAAAAACATGAAAAAGAAGATAAAGAAAAAATAACGACTAACAACACCATATATATTAATTTCTACAAAAATCAAATAGATAATGACTATTTAGATCATACAGTATTAGAATGATTCTGATATAATACCTACTCAAAAAAAATGTGTGGTGTACACAAAATGTGTGACAAGTTGTCTGTTACAAACAACTCATATTAAGTTGTCTACAACTTGTCTACGAAGGACAGACAAATATACAAAAAAAAGGTGTACACATTTTGTGTACATCTGACAAAACTCGGATCCATATAGACAAGTACTACACGTTCCGTTGAATGGAAAGCTTTTAATCCTATTTTTCTCACGGAATCACGGGTGACCATTTTGGACCACTAACTAGAAAACTGAAAACCTATGGAATACGGAGTATAACAAAGCTTTTGTTGCCGTATTTACTTAATTCCGTGAAAAATCTAATCTCACGTGAGTTCGTGACAAAGATACAGATTTTTGTGGGATTTCAGGCATCCGCATCTACTACTGGATGATTTTGGGTGTTACAGTCATTTAGTTTCTTTATTAATTTTGAGCCTCCGCACACATCAAACATAGATTGCTGCAATCCTGCCAAGATCCTTATGTTAGGTCACTTAAGATTTTCCGTGCAATCTTTAAATTCTAAGTGACCAGAATTATCATCAGGCAAGAACACGAGACAATAAATGATAAATTCCGCCGGCTAAGGGTATGTTTGGGAGTTTGGAAGTAAAGTGGGAGAAAAGCTTTGAAGTTATGTTGTTAGAGAAGAAAGAGAGCACAAGGTGATGAAACCCTTCTTCGTGTTTGGGAGTAATAAAATTGGAAGGAGATTGTTTTTGAAAGAATTATAATTTAAATCACTTTTAGATATGACAAATTTAAATCATTGAACTGATATTCATTTTTATTTAGCTTATATTACCATCTTGTTAATTAGCCCCAAAACCCTCCAAATTGGGGGAACTTACAAATTGAGTAATTGGAGGGTTTTGAAGGGTTACAAAAGCCCTCCAAAATCGCCCCTCCAATTTGTTGAACTCCCAAGCATGAAAAAGAGGGTTATAAACCCTTATTAACCTTCTCCTCCCCTCCAAAACCCAACTCTCAAACACACCCTAAGAAAATGATCACTTGGACTGCGGGGAGTCTAATATTGAGAAATTATCTAAATATGACTAAAAAATAGACAATAAAACATACTACCCTCGTCCCTCTTATATTGGGACAGAAGGAGTGTCACGATTATTAAGAAAAGTGGGTTTGTGTGGTTGATATTAATTGATAAAGTAAGAATAATGTAAGAATGATTTAGAGCCATACAAACTTTACCAAATATGGTATGAGACAATTTTAGTGGAACTTCACGAAAAGGTAAAATGAGACAATATTAGTGGGACGGAGGGAGTAAATAGTTTTAATGTATTTAATCAATGTCATTAGATATGCGAGTTTGTTAGTTTCAAGTTAACTAAAGATCAAAATAATATCTCCTGTTAATATTTGAATCAATATTAACGATTGAAATTTACACCTCTAAAAACTGCACTTGTCATGCTACTGTTTGACAAGCACTAAATTCAAATATTACAAAAAATTGATACTCAAATTGGAGAATAAAATGAAATTGCATTGACAAATAAAAGTAAAAGTAACATTGTAAGGTTTTTAGGAAATGGGGAGCATCAACATTTCTTATTAATTCAAAACAAGAGTTTAACATTCATCTCAATGATTATTTTTGAAGGTATTCATTTCAATGATTTAGAAATACTCTCATTCATTTCAATGATTTATATAAAACATTCATTCCAACTATAGACTTCAGCTAAAAACGGTGATGCGATCTCAGTCGCACAGAGAAAAAGAACTGCACAAAATCATAGACACAAAAAGGAAGAAACAAGAAAAAAACAAAATGGGAGAATGAATGAATAAAGAGGGAAATAAAATTTAAATTTGGCGGATAAACAGAGTTGCCAAGGTGCTTATCTTTATAAGACATTCCTTTTTTCTTAACCATTTTAGGTTTCTTTTTTGCAAGTGAAATGTCATTATTATGTAATTAGGTTGATTGCAATTGGGTAAGATAATTGTTATGGCACGACAAGAATGCATTTGTTTAACTATACAAAATAAAGACTGTAATGCCACTTACCTCTAAATGTCTTAGTGTGTCCAGTAAACTTAACCTCTCCTCGCTAAGAACTTTGAGCTGGGCTTGAACTTGAGAAAATTCAGAGAGCATAATCTTCTCACATTCCTTGACAAGTCCCTCACTCATACCCTCATCAACCAGGCGACTCTTCAGTTTCTCAGTTGATATGGATATATCCCGGGGTAAAAGAGGGGCATCATCATTCGCTGGGCCAAGCATTAAGAGATTTCTTGTAGAAATCAAAGCTTCTATCCATGCTACTCGCTCTTTCTTTGAATTTGTCCTTAGGTGTAGTGTCTTTGTAGCTGTAAATATGTAAAACTTCTTGTTATCTGACCTGCTCTCCCGAAATGATGAGACCTATAAAAGAGTTCCCAATTCAAAAATCTATTCCCTCTTTTTTCATAATACAAACAAAAGGAATAGAGTACAAAAGAAAGAAGTTGACCTCAACTAGGGGTGTTCGTCGGTTCGGTTTGGTCGGTTTTCGGTTTGGTCGGTTCGGTTTGGTCGGTTTTTTTCCGGAAAAGCTGAAACCGTAAACTGAACCGCACTACTTGAGTCGGTTTCGGTTCGGTTTTGGTTCGGTTAATATCGGTCGGTTCGTGTTGGTTTCAGTTATTTTTAGCATGTTTTTGTCGGTTTTTGTCGGTCTGTTTCGGTTCGGTCGGGTTTTTAACCCCAAAGGTGAAACCGTAAACCGAACCGCCAATGTTTGTTCGGTTTGAGTCGGTTTCGGTTTTGGTCGGTTTTGGTCGGTTTGTCGATCGGTTTCGGTTTTTCGGTTTTTTTGTTCACCCCTAAGCTCAACCATGAAGCTATGCCTAGCTATACCCTACTCACGGCCATAAATTGTATATAACCTCAAATGCAAACAACTTTTACTTATTTAGAAACTTGTAATACGATGGGCTAAGCAATTGACAAAAAAATAGTGTTTGGTTCTCGAAAGGAGCTTCTCAATGATATCAGTTGCAAAACTTTAAACACAATATTACATAATCCCTAAGGAACGTAAATAGAAAACAGAGATAATTAGTTCTTTGTTTGGCTCATTACGTTTTGGAGTCCATCCAAGTGAATTAAATCGAATAGGACTAGTTAAATTGGCAATTTATTCAGTACGTTAATACTTAATAAAAAAAGGGGGAAAATGAATAAGTATGAAAAAGTTACAATCAAGTTGTGTTTTAAAATAATACGGAGTACATAACTATATACTCACAAAGTTTCATCATATTGGTTGCACTTTGGATTATGAGATTTGACTAATTAAGGTTAATTGATTCTACCAAAATAACACTAATACTAACCTAAAACTTACTAATTACTACCCTAATTACACTAATAACTATTGTACCACAAATTCCAAATTTAAATATTACGTAAATTAGATGTATAATATATTATATTGAATAAAATTTAACACTTTAATTTACGTAATAATACGGAGTACATAACTATATACTCACAAAGTTTCATCATATTGGTTGCACTTTGGATTATGAGATTTGACTAATTAAGGTTAATTGATTCTACCAAAATAACACTAATACTAACCTAAAACTTACTAATTACTACCCTAATTACACTAATAACTATTGTACCACAAATTCCAAATTTAAATATTACGTAAATTAGATGTATAATATATTATATTGAATAAAATTTAACACTTTAATTTACCGTTTACCGGCTGCATATTAAATGTAAATTGTGCATAGTACTCCGTATATAGTTTTTGTTTTGAAATGTGAAATAGTTAGAATGATCGAAGTAATTATTCTTGCTTTTATTTAATACTCCGTTTATGTTTGTTAGAATCACTTATTCAAATAAGTGCAACAATCCACTTTTCACGTTTACCGTTACACAATTTTGACCATTAAAACATATAGTTCTCTATTAGTAAAAAGTTAAAAAAATCACATTTTGAAAATTTATAATGAGAACGATTTACCAATATTTTAAAAATAATAATTATGAATACATTACTAAATAAAGCATAATCAGTAAAATGTGAAGAGAAGCAGTTCCTACTTGTTATGGAGTTCTTGTGAAGTAGGTGTATATGAGCTTGAATTTTAATCTCGCGAGTAGTATTTTTAGTAGTCTTTTACATTTGGGCCCACTAAGTCATTTCTACACTTATTTCTCTTTCTAACTAACTCTCTTGTCTCTAAAAAACACCCACTACCGGTGGGCGTAGCTCAACTGGTAGCAAGGGAGTGCCACAAGGGTTAGGTCTCGGGTTCGAATCCCGGCAACTGCGATGAGGGGTTACTATGCTGAAAAATGCATAGGGCTTCTGCAAGTACCGGGGACAGAACTCCACTCTCTATCTGTCAGATTGTGATTATAGTCCAATTTACATCCTCCCATCATGCCGTCCGGTCGGTGTTGGGGGGCCCTCAGGGATGGGGTGTCATCCTTTTTTTTCTAAAAAACACCCACTTATAAGTATTACTTATATATTTGAATTTGAATGTCAATAAAAATTTCAATGCATTACTTGGAAAAACCGCAAATTTGCAGTCAGGTAACTAATACCCATTACTAGCAGTACTAGCATTATTGATACGGAGTATTCAATTTGGACAAAGTATAATTGCTCTACTTTTACTCACACTTTTAAAATTGGATTCAATAGTGAAATGATTGAAATCCACCTACACGGTTTCAATTATTAAAGGTCAAAACAATACTACGTACTACCTATAATAATATTGATTCATTTTTAGGGCACATAATAATACTAATAGCAGTAATAATAATAATAATTATAATAATAATAAATAAATGAATAATATACCCGGAGTATATAATATTGATTCATTTTAGGGTATATAATACTCCGTAATACTTATAGCGGTAATAACATTAATAATAATAATAATAATTAAAATAACAATAATAATGTAATAATACGGAGTAATTGTCAATAATTCATTACTACGTAATATTTATCCACTTGTCCACTATGGAGAACGGGGGGAGGGAAAACAACCAAACGGTAAAAACAAACAATAGTACGAGAAGTAAAAGTACAAAGATAAAGCCATCGTTCCAAACACTTCCGCTTTTACTGTTTCGGTCAAGAAGAAAAAGCCAATGCATTTTTTATTAAAAAACCACTGTATGTGCTTACTTCCTCGCAAAAGAAAAGATGACCGATAAGACATGTCCACAGAGAGGAAGGAAGAAATACACAGAGACATCAAAGTCAAACTGACAAAATGAAGATTTAGCAAACCAAACTTGAAGAAAAAGGATATCTGAATCTGTGATAATCTGAAGATTCAGAACCACATAAACTCACCCAAACACATTTTCTAGAAAGTGACATAAACATTGATACGGGATAATTAAGGAATAGTAATACCGAGTATTATTTTTAATTCATTACCTAACCCTATTTCTCCCTGCAAAACCTACAGATTAATTTATTTCTTGATCATATAGATTCATTTCAGATAATATTACTGTAGTTTTTTTAAATTGATTACCTAACCCTACTTATCCCTGCATCACCAAGAATTGTACGACTATTACTCTTTCGTTTCACCGCAAAACCTAGAAATCTCTGGCCTACAGATTAACGAGCGGTTAAAGATCTGGCAAACCTCCAGTTGTGGTAAATATTCAAAGCTCAGATTTCCAAGCTATTTGGTGACAGCGATGAAACAGAAAAGTTTCATAGATTTGGAAAATCGTGACAGAATCAATATCATCCATTCATTGCTTTTACCCCAAAAAAAAGCTGTACGTCGTCTAGGTGACCCAATTGGGTTGGCCGATTCTAATCTGATGATATTTCTTTTCATCGAATATTATCACATCATACTCGCTTTCTACCCCACTTCCACCGCAGGTTTTGTAGCATAGTGAAAAGGTTAAAGTAATTTTTATCCGCAGTGGGTAATTTCCCCGTAGTGGGTCAGCGGCGGATTCTATGATGTATAAGGACGCAGTAGTTTACCTTAAGGTGGACAATGCGGACGGATTTGCGGGCTTTACGTTGACCGCCGGGGTTGTTGGATGGGAGCTGGCCGATGAGCTTGATTCCGTCGTCGGAGGAGGCGGAGTAGGCGGGGCGGCGAGTTTTGGAGTAGGTGAGGATGCCGTTGCGGAGTATGAACCACCGGGATCTCCAGCCTTTGTGGAAATTAGTCCACTTGTAGAGGACGCCGGCGACACTGGTGGCTTCCGATCCCACGGACCAAGCGTCAGATCCGACCACCGCCGATCCGGTCCTCAATAACCGCGGCGTCGCCTTCTTCTTCGAAGTCGGCTGAGGCGATTGGTCACCGATCGCGCCGCTCTCGAGCAGCAGGCAACAGAGCGGATGCATCTCCCTCACCCGCATTTCGATCGCTCCTTGGATACTCCTCTACTCAAAACGGCCGGGACTCCATAATTACATACAGTGCTCCCCCAAGGATCCCAGCGAATTCTTCCTTCCTTCAAATGTATTCAGAATTTTCGAAACCTAGAGAGATTTACACGAATATTTCATATACAGACGCAAGGGATATACCGAAAATGGACTGCTCGGTGAAGATTTCAGAACAATTTTGTTCTGTGGGTGGAAATAGAGAATTGAATAAACAAAATGATCTCGAAATGGACTAAACCAGGAAAGGGGGCTGGGCTTTGTATGGATGGAGAGGGATAAGAGGTGGTAGAATGGTCAATTTGAGTCGGGTCTTGATGGTGAGATCTTTCTCATGCTTTGTCTGGGAAGGGAGTCAGGACAGAGGCGGTTTAAGGTGGATGAGATCATAGAGAAATACTGTACATAAATAAATTGGGGAGAAGGATTCAGGTCTTCTACACCCCCGATATATGGACGACTATATATAATTACGAATATCACACTTGCAACTTCTGTTTCACTTTTTTACCACAAAATTAGTTATTTGGGTCGATTCTGCTGAAATTTATTAAGTTCTGACTAAGACGGCTGTATCGGCTGATTCTGCTAAAATTATTTTTAAAATATATTTTATTAATAAAATAAAGAATATATATATATATATATATATATATATATATATTTTTTTTGGTTCAGGTGAGAAATGCATCTAATGTGAGAAATGAGAATGAATCTCAGCCATTGGATTTACGAAGTTGCACTAAAATTGGCTTTATGTTGCAGTAATATTTAAATTTTGCACATGTTGCACTAAAACTGTTTCATGTTGCACTAATATTTGACGGCGTTGCACCGAAATAGCTTCATGTTGCACTAGACACATGTAATACAGATTTTTCAGAAGTATTTACAGAAATGCCACCGTGCTAGATTGCATATTTCAGTGCATCATGAAGTGTCTTTTACTGCAACTTAGTCGAATCCAATGGTTGAGATTCATTCTCATTTCTCACCCAAAGGGTTCTTCTCACTTGAACCTTACCCTATATATATATATATATATATATATATATATATATATATATATATATATATATATATATATATATATATATAGGGTTAAGATCAGATACAAAGTATGCTTCCCATACAAAATGCAAAATCATCTCATCCGTCCAATTTTATAAAATCAAGGTTAAGATTTGTTTACACCCCTAAAAATCAGCCGTAGTAATAGGGGGAGTTTTTTAACTCCTATCCAATACATACGTTTTTTTAACCCCAACCATATTAGTGGGGAGTTTTCTCATCCACACCATTCATCTCATTCATATGGATGGTTAAGATTAGTTTGCACTTTGTAAATTAGGATTAGTTTGTACATGATCCTTGGTATATATATATATATATATATATATATATATATATATATATAGGGGTGAGATCTCATACTAACTAGTTCTCCCATGCTAACTCGTGAAAACTCCGACAACCGGTGGTATTTTTGGCTCAAAGTTTTTGTGTATGTTCCTCATCAAGTCTAGTTTATCTATACCAAATTTGAGCAAAAAATTCAATCGGGAAGGTCATCAAATGATTTTTGAAAGAAAACTGGTCCGGAAAATACATATAAAATGCAGTTTTCTTTCAAAAATCATTTGATGACCTTCCCGATTGAATTTTTTGCTCAAATTTGGTATATATGAACTAGACTTGATGAGGAACATACACAAAAACTTTGAGCCAAAAATACCACCAGTTGTCGGAGTTTTCACGAGTTTGCATTTTAAGCATGGTTTGCATTTGATCTCTTACCTATATATATATATATATATATATATATATATATATATATATATATATATATATATATATATATGGGTCCCCTTGTTTCACACCCCTAAAGGGCTTGAAAAAACCATAGGGAGCTCCATTAATCAAGATAGAAATGAAAGTAGCTTGGAGATTTCCCATAATCAAATTTATAACATGCTGCCCAAAACCAAATTTACCTAGGATAGCCTGTAGGAAATCCCATGACACCCTATCAATATATATATATATATATATATATATATATATATATATATATATATATATATATATATATATATATATATATATATATATAATAACTAAAATGGTCATCTACAGCAATTTCAGCCAATACATCCAGAAAGCAAAAATTACATGTTTGGTGAAAAAGTTGGCTGATAAGTCTGATAAGCCGAAAAACAGTGTTACCAAACGGCCTCTTATTTTACCCTTCCATTAGAGGTGAACAATAGAGATTGCAAAGAAAATTGTATTTGTATGTGTTTTATATTACACTCACTCCATTTTCTCAACTCACAAAAAGGGGCGGAGCCATGATTAGATTGAAGTGGGGCGGGATGAGATAAAAATAATAATATAATTCCTCAGTCTCATTGGACTTTGCTTAATTTATGTTAGGTGTAATTTAAGAAATGTAAAAATTCTGTGATTGAGGTTTGTCTAAGTACAGAAAAATAAGCAGAAGCACAAATTCATTATTTTAAACGGAAAATGACAAAAGAGCCCCAAAATGATTTAGAATGTCCTCTTCAAATCACAAAAATATCCCTAATTTAAAATAAGCTTGTATGGAGTATGATATTTCATTAAATATTTAAATGTTAAAGTTAACACTAAAGAGCCCCAAAATGATTTTCTCATATAAAGTTATGTTAATTTAAGCTCTTGATTTCATCTTTAAACTAAAATAATATATACTAGTACCTTCTAAAATAATTAAGAATTCCTTAAAAACACACTCTAAATTGTAATAACTTATTTCCTTTGCATTTCCTTCAACTTTGCTCATATAGTAGCACATTATTATAATTTCTAAATTACAACTTCTTAATTCTTATCTAGAAAATAACCCTTGAAATACTAAATAGTATTTCTTTAGTAACTATTTACTAATTTCCAAACTAACTATTCAAAGCACAAATTGACTCTGGTTGGAACTATTACCTCATAAAAGTCGGTACGTTTTACTCAATTTAGAGATATTATGGCATCTGTGTGGAAACCGAAAAAGGTGTTACTATAACTGAGATCGGTCCTAGATGATACGTGTTTCAATTCTATAATGAAGAGGACATGAATAGGGTAGCATATGAGGGACCGTGGCTTTTTTATCAGAACTTGATTGTTATGAGTAGACTTAGAGAGGGCGATATCCCTATGTCTGTTCCATTGGACAAAGCCGAATTTTGGGTCCAAGTTCATGATATCCCAGTGGGATATTTCTCCATAGACAATGCAGAACGTATTGGGAATTTTTTGGTGACTTTGATAAAAGGTGATGAAAACAATTTTTCTGGGAATTGGGAATCTTTTATGAGGATTCGAGTCTGTATTGACCTGGGGAAACCGCTGAAAAGGAAATTGGTTTTGCAAAAAGAGGAAGGCGTCAACTTCCGTGTAAGATTTTGCTCCGAGAAACTGCCTAGTTTTCTGTTTTTGTGTGTGGAATAATAGGGCATACTGAGAGCCATTGTCCACGTAAGAAGATGGGTTACGAGGTAACCGGCGACAGGCCTTTCGGGCCTTGGCTTAGGGAAACGAAAGGGGCAAAACAATGGAAGGAGAATAAATGGCTCGTCCCAGCAGGTAAAGGGATCACTTCAGGCAGCAGGAAATTTGAAATTAAAATGGCCCTAAGGATTTTTCTCCCCTTCAGTACTTTGCACTTTTGAACAATAAAAGAAACTCCCCCAGCTTATGCAAATTTTGAAAAGTCTCCCCCTTAATTTATGCAGAATATTTGAAAAGCTCCCCTTGATTTATGCATGAAAAATGTTAAACAAGAATGAAATGTATAAAAAAGAAAAGAAGAAAAAAATGCAAAATGCTAAATGGGAAAAATGGAAAATTTGAAAGCGAGGGAAAAAATGAAAAAGGAAAAATAAAAAATTTTGAAAAAGATTTTTTTAAATGAAAGCACACGCAAACGCACACAATGCAGAGTTACCTATGGGTTCATCATCCCCAGCTTAGAGATAAAAAAGTTGAATGTCATTTCGTCCAGGGCCTTTGTGAAGATACTGTTGGAAAAAGTGTGTTAAAATTGTATTAAATGGTCATTTTGGGGCAATTTTTTGAGTGGGGTCCACTTCCGATTTGGGTCGGGTCAAAGTGGTTTCGGATTGTCCTTGCTTAGATATATGGTATGCTCAAAACGGATAACGAGTGAATGAGAAATCGCTTTTCGAAGTTTACCCGTTGGAATGGAGAAAACTAGGAAAAGGTGGGTTTTTAGTGTGGGTTTTTCCCACACCGAAAATCACAAGGGAATTTGAACCCTTTATAAAGGGAAACTCCCCCGCAGCATAAATGCCCAACGTTCATGGCCCTTAATGCAAACGTTTTTGGACTGGTTTGGCTGGAATCAATATCCCAAACGTTGGGCATTGATGTCCAACGTCTATATGCCTTAACCAGCCATTAACACATGCAAATCCACCCCTGTAACAGGCTGGTAGCTGCTTTGCAAAAGAACACAAGTCACAAACGTGCTGCACTTCGTTTTAGCTCAGAAAACTCTCCAGCCTTCTCTTAAAAATTCCTTCTGTGTTCTTGCTTTGTTCACATTCGTTGAAACTTTCGTTTGAGTGCTCAAACGCTTGTTCGTAGTCATCGTATCCTGGGAAACGATTCTTGCAATGCTCCTAGCACCCCGAGAGGCAACGAATATGTTTTAAGGAAATCGTGCGTAGCACGAGCTTTGGCTTATTCTGCTTCATCTCATTTCTTGTTTTTCTTTAAGTCATTTTATTTAATTGATTTTTATTAGTTATTTTTCTTAGTTTTTCGAAACACACCCTACAAACTTAAAACGTATTTGGTGATTGTTTTACTACGATAAACAATCTTAAACTTGTAGTTTGTCACCTTGGTGAACGAACTTGTTTTTTGTGTTTCCGAAGAACGTAAGAAACGAAAAATGACTTCTCAAGAAAATGAAAATGTTGTTGGGCAGAATGTTTTGAACGGTTTGAACGATACTCACTCTGAAAGCGGAGCTTCAGTGAACAATAGTTCACAACGCGGTGCATCTGCTTTGGTTAACCAAAGGGCTATCCCTATGGTGACCGTGCCGAGCAACTCTGTGGAGAAACCTGAAAAATTTAATGGGTTAAACTTCAAGAGGTGACAGCAAAAGATGCTCTTCTATCTCACTACTCTCGGTCTTGCACGTTTCTTGACCGAAGATGCGCCGGTAGTAACCGGGGGTGAGGTGGATGCGCAATCATTCAACGCGGTTGAAGCTTGGAAGCATTCTGACTTCCTATGCCGAAACTATGTGTTGAACGGGCTGCATGATGCTTTGTACGACGCGTATAGCAAATTAGCTACGGCTAAGGAGCTATGAAATGCTTTGGACCACAAATATAAGAGCGAGGATGCCGGTGCAAAGAAATTTGTTGTCGGTCGATTCCTTGATTTTAAAATGGTGGATTCGAAGACGGTCTTGAGTCAAGTTGAAGAAATGCAA